TCCAGCTTTTGCTAAGAGATTCAGAAAGAACTATCAGACATCTGCTGCAGATCACTAATCAGTAGCCAAAGTCAGCACATGGTACTGTGCACTTCTTGTTGATTCTATAGGGCAACCATTTACTCAAGGATTGAAGAATTCAAGATGAAATAAGCAGATGCATTTTAATAACTAAATATCATAAATCACACTAAGATAGACAGATAGATGTAAAACCAAAGGAGAAAACCGTGACTATTTCAATTCTGATAAGGAAACATTAAAGAGAAACTAAATTTAAGGAAAATACCTTATAACTATCACAATAGCCTTTGGTAACATTGGAAAAGTTAAATGTTACAGATACATGGGATTTGTGAAGGTTTTATTGTGAACAGTATGGTAGGAAAGGGTAAAAGGACTGATTACAAGCTAAGAAGAGCACTATGTCCAAACCCAAACTTTCTATCTATTTAATACTGCCCGTGTCAAGAGGCATATATCACAAAGCAAAAGGCTATCTATTAGGCTGTATTAATCAGTCTGTCTAGGTTTAAGTCTGAAAGCATGACTATAGCATTTTTCCACTAGAACTTAAGCAAGTATTAAGGCCACTCACACTTGAAGTAGGGATAACAACACTATTTAACATGTAGTTTTTTAGCAAGGATTAAATTACCTATACACAGCATATACTAGACTCTAAATGCTCAACAAATACCCACATTGGTTATTAGGTAATGATAAAGTCTAGTATGAGGGGAGAGGGAAATAAATTATCTGTACTACCAAGGAAGACCAACAGTAAGGCACTATAAGTTGGAACACACCTAGTTAAAAAGAAAAATTTTCCCAACAAGGAATGGGGATGTATATAACAAAGGTGGGGTATGGAGGAGAAACACGGAAAAGAGAAATGTGAGCTAAGAAGATAGTTAGTTGGCAAAGTATTTGTCTAGCAGGCACAGGGGCCCAGTGTTCATATCACCAGACCAACTAAAAAGTAGCTAGACTTAACAGCACATGCTTTTAAATCCCAATGCTGAGAAAATAGACACAGGTGGGGGCTCTTAGGGCCAGCCATCCTGGCCTATTCAAGTGTTCCAGACCATTGAGAGCCACTGTCTCCAAAACTTAAGGTTGACTGCACCTAAAGAACAGCAGTTGAG